TTTTTTTTTTTTTTAAGTTTTTATTTATATTAATTAATATATTTTTATTTATTTTGTTACCAAATTTGTTTGAATTTTTTAGATTAATAATTTTAGATATTATTATGTGTACTTAATTGATGGATTTTGTCTCCTTGAGAGCCCGGAAAGGCGTACTTGAATGCTTTGTTTCCATTTAGTCTGCCAATTTCACTTCTGACCAGTAAACCTCACACTTATCTCGAACCAGTGAGCCCGTGTACTCCCGCCTTCGGTCCATCTTTCCATCTATTAATCCATCTCACTGAAGCTCGATCAACATACATAGCACTTCAACAGGAGCGAGGTACGAGTCGGGCCGGAATAGGGTTATATACATTCTCAAGGGGTCATTCAAGCGTATCTAAATAGATACTATGACATTAATCATAATCAATAGCTGGACTATTTATCATAATCAGTAGCTGGACTATCTTTTGGAACCTCCAGTTGACAACATTTTATCTTTTGGGATTTAAATTAGGACTAAATCCAGATTTTGTGAACCAAACAAGTATTATATACAAGGATTTTTTTTTTATTTTTTTATTATTTTTTGAAACGGTAGAATATTATAAGCCAAAAACAAAAGAATAGTAAGTACAAGCCATGCTACAAGTTTGTAGAATAGGAGAACACTCACTAGAACTCAAAACCTAGAACCAAAAAAACCTTCCCTATTTTCAACCTAACCTCTGAGCTTAGCCAATTGAGGGAAATTTTATGTACTTGAGTTCAAAGTGTGATCTCCTTGAAGCACTGATCTTGCTCAAACAGGCTCTCCGTCCAATCCTTCAAAACTAGGTATTGATTCTCAAAAACCCAACACCCGCCAGGATTTTCTCCATATCCTCCTTGCTTCCGAAGATTAATTGGAAGAAATTGGTACCCAACTCCTTAACCTCAATAGGTTTGTGTCTGCTATACCACTCTTATAGTCCTTCTAACCCCGAATATGTTAGTTTTCCTATCACCAATAATTTATCTCAGAAGACTGCGGCTACACTCCTCTTCACTGATTCTCACATCCTCATCTTCCAACTCTACAATGCTACTTTCCTTCGTTGCTTTGACAATTTGATATTTTGTAGCCTTGCTCCAACCTCATCCTCCATGTCAGACCCCAGACGACAAACCTCAAGGCTAAAAAACGTACCCCCAATTGATAATATGATCGGTGTCAGCCTTGAACACTAGAAAGCAAATGCTATCATCTTGCGACGGAGCACAATAACACAATTTGTGCCTTTCCGTAGGCTACACATACATAGGCTATCAAGATAATACTTTGCCTACAAAAAAAGGATAACCGGTAATAGCATTATGATGTCCACAGATTTATTGATTGCAAATACAGAAATGGACAAATTAGGCTGTTCCCCTGTGGTTCATTTCATTTGATAAGCTTCTTTAAATTTTCTCTACAAAATAGATTGGAACAAAATCAGTCATAATGTGGATATTCTTTAACTGTGATAGAAATGCAAAACACAAATGAAAGATTTTGATTACATAAACCATTATGCAGTGAAATTGAATTATTACGAAAAAAGATATGCTAAATCCCAAATATTAAAGTTGTATGTGCTATTGTTATATACTGAAAGTTTGGCTTTGGATGATATTACACTTTTACCTTTTATGAATGAGAAACACGTTAGATTAAACAAATTCTACGTTCTGTTGTTGTGCATTAGATAGTGTGGGTCGTCATCGGACGAACTGAAGATTATACTATCAGTTATGTGTGAAACAAGAATTATTGGTTCACAACCTAGATGGACATGAACACCCATCAAAACGGTTGTAGTGTCAACTGTACAATTTGTCTTCGTTGATTAGTTGCACTAGTACATTTATGTATTGAACTGGATCCCATGAAGGAACAATTCGTTTTATACTGATCGTCGTAAACGAGCTAGACCTCGGTTAATTACTGCGTGCTCTTAACCCGTAAGATATTAAACAAACATATATGTGTAGTATTTATTACTCCCTCCTATTTTTTTTAATGTCATTCTAGTTTTATCAACTATTTGCCAAATAAATGTCGTTTTGGATCTTTTGTACATATTTTTCCATTATTACCCACATTTAGTAATAAATACATTACGTCTTTTCATATTCACTTTTCACTTTTTCTCAAAACATTCATCTCTATCTTCATTAAATAAGGTTATTATTGACAAAAAAAATATTCTTAATTAACGTGCAACTTCTCAAAACGACATATATTAAAAATATAAGGTAGTACTTTGATTCACATTGGTGAGGCCTAGTGAACTGGGCCAATAGACTCTCTGTCTTGGGTAATATTGGTACATGTAGGATCGCTCTTAGGATATTTACGGTCACCATGTACGTTTAGTTTGATGATGTCCCCGGAGTGAGTTTATGAAGGATTATTATGCTAAAATTTGCAGGTGGATTAAATTCTGTCATAGTAATAATGTGATGAACGAGCGCTAGCTTCGATGGAATAATAATAAATTAATTAATTCTTGATTGTCAGTATCGAATTAATTAATGGATATTATATCTTAAACATGAGGAGATAAATCGAGTAATTATTATTGGAGTCTCAATTGTAAATTGGGCTAGGAAAATGAAGTGCAATAATATTATGTTGGTGCCCTATTTAATATTATTTAATTAATTAGAATAAGTGGGCTGACCCACAAGTATTTTAATTAATTAAAGAGCACTTCTCCTAATCTCCTAAGGGTCCTACTGTAGCTCTATATATACATCATTAAGCTCATAAGAAGAGAACACACAAGATCATAAACACATGCCTACGCGCGCCGTCCCCTCTATCTCTCTCTTTCAGTTCCCATCCGAGCTTTATCTTCTTCTTGTTGTTCCAGCGATACAAGTTGAAGAGGGTGTTAGAGATATACAGTCGAAGATAAATAGGTATCCGAGAACCGATAATCTTCTACAGCAAGTTGACCATGAGCCCGAGCCCGAGCCCGAGATCCGCCAACCGCGACCGTTGCACGCCAGGACTAGCGACGCGCCACTGTCATGAGTCGCACGCGCCAGACCCGGCGATCCGAGACGCACGATCCGGCAGCCCTGCGACTCGTGATTTGTACATAACGATATCTTCATATATCCCAAAAGTATGCTCATGTTTTAATAAGAAGAAATTGTGCAAATTTGATAAACAAGTGTTTGTTTATGCAGTTTTGCTATGAAGCCCTCGGATGACAGGATTTATGGAGTCGTACACACTTATTCACAAATAGAATATTGACACATGTCCTACAATAAAAATAATTTGGACATGTATCAATACATTAAGTGATAGATGACTTAATAATAAAACCATCCGATGGCTCCATTGAATTTATGGTTTGCTTATGAATCATTACAGATTTTGTGTTTTCTTGGTCAATACACTAGGTATAAATTTCAGCAGAAATTCTATAGAGCCTTCAGATGGATCCCTATGAAGTCATTCATAACTTTATGTACGGACACATGTCCAGTGTTCATTTATTGCATGATACGTGTCAATACATCATTCATAAAATAACTATGAATGACTTTATAAACCGAGTCATCCGATAACTCCATAGAAAACCGTAAATTTCAATTACTATTATTTGGTGTTATGCTCTTATTTTAAGGGTTAATCTTTATTAAATGACATATAAAATTAGGCCTTTAATCTACTGTTAGTCTTGCGTTTGTTAATCAAAATTGTGACCCTCAAAATTAGATTCGACCGGAGATGAAAAATCATTAATTTTTTATATCAAGACTATTAAATCTTGGGGAGTGAGGTGTGATTTTTTATCCCTATAATTGAAACTTGGGAAAATGACTAGATGACCCAAAAATATTATACTTTTTATGTTGTGTCCCAAACACAAATAAATTGAAAAAAAAAAATAAGTTCAAGGGAAAAATTTATAAATTTAATTTTTATTTCAATTAATGTCATGGCAAACAAAAGTCTGAACTAAAAACTTTACATGAATCTTATCTTATGGGCAGAATTCGTGCAGCAAACGTAGATCAGTTTTTGATCTTTATAGTTTAATCGTGTCATCCTAGATAAAAGAATCTTAACCTATTTAATCGTATATAATATTAGGCCAAAGTTTAAGGGACAAACTAGTAAATGTAGATTTTATCCCAACTATTGTCCGGACAAATAAACGTAGGAACAAAACTTTATACGAATCTTACATTACGAGCCGTCGTTGGCACCAAACGTAGTGTTGGGTTATGTGATGAACGTCATCATATGCACATCCGAATATAAATAATTGAATTCCAACGCAGGGGATATAATTTAGATTAGGACTTATAGTTTAGAATTTGTCGACTTTGAGATGTTGTAGATTTTTTTCTGTAGGAGATCGTATGATTTGCAGAGTCCGTTAGGCAGTCGAACTTGGCCCCTCGATTGATTGTCGGTCGTCGAAAATCGGTTGGAAGCTTGTCGAGTCGCGCATGTCATGTCGCTTGTTGGCCACTGCCTCGGGTGCGTGCGCATCGAGCTCTGGGCGAAGGTCACGCGGCTCTGCATAGGCCGCGTTTGAGGACTTCGCGGGTCGCTCGGTAGCTGCTTGTAGTTTTTTAGTTGAGTACGATCGAAAATCTCACTCGGGTCATCTTCTCGAAGGAAGGTTGTTCGGAGTTTCGTTCACTATCTAGTCGTCAATTCACATAACCGAAAACAATATCCTAAACATGCTACTCAATTGATTTGAAGGAAAATGAGCTAATTTTGCACTATGATTGGAAGCAATTAAGGAAAGATGACATTTAGAGAGAAAAAAATTGGAACTTTTTGCACGGAGTCTCCATAACTTGACGAAAATGACAATAAACAAAGAAAAAAACATGTGAGAAAAGTGATTATAGGTAATATAACACGAGCCTTCTAACTAAATCATCACGCTTTGAGCAAAGTCGAGACCTTTACACAAGATAAACACGTATTGAATTCCTAACACACTTGAACAAGCAATGAAAATAAAAGAAATTCTTAAAATCGAGCATCACACAAGATACCGGCCAAAACAAAACTCGAAGCAATAAGCCCAAATCAAGGTACTTACCCTCCTATCGCAAGCTCGGAATCGAATTTTGGATAAAAATAAGGTCGCGGGAAAATTCAAGTCTTGAAACTACAAACATGAACAAGAGAGAGAAATGAGAGAAAAATAAAAGAGAGAAAGAGAATTTCCCAACTAAAAGTTGGGAAATGTGGATGGCAAATATACAAAACTCAATGTGCTTGGATACAAATATATCAGTTCAAAAATGAGTTTATTTTATTAATCATGGTTAATTTTTTTTTTAAAAAAAAATTGGTATCATTAGTTTTTAGTGGATTTTGAATTTATATTAAAATAATATTTGAAACAAAATTTTAGATAACGTAAAAATAAGAGAGATATGATGTAAAGTGATGATTAATTACGATTATTTGAGTGAATAAATAATGAATTAAAATTGATTTGATGTGTAAGAATGGTTGTTTGATATATTTTTGTTCTACTTCAAATATTTAGAATAGTGAAATTATGTTAAAGTTGAGTTGTATTTGACTATAAATTGAGCCTAGATTAAATAATTTTATAAGCAAACACCCCTTAATTTGCTCGTATTATTTCAAACTCCTACCCCAAAATATAATCGAAATCAATATTGTTTATTCTATTAACAAATTGAATTTGGACTTGGTATGCAAGAGAGGACAATAATATGAAAGCACGAAGAATTACATAAGAGGTTAACGGCAGAATGCTTGTGCGTTATTTTCTCGCGAACCCCACGCGTCTATAGTTCAAAAACAAAAACAGCCTAATTTTGGTGACGTCACCTCACATATTCCTCAGTGATACGAGCAAATCGCAATATTAGTCGTGTTGGTTTGATGTAGTGGCGTTTTCAGTTTTAAGAATTGAACGTTTATACTATTGAGTCCTATAATTTTAAAATTTAATGCAATTTCAGTCTTTTGGGACTGTAAATGCAACAAAGTTAAAAATTACAAGACTTAAATTGATAATAAAAAATCTTTGATGAATTTTTTATTAACATTTTAAGTTCTGTAATTTTAAAATTTGTTGCAATTTTGAGACTGAAACTGCAGCAAAAATACTAAGTTATCGGATCAAAAGCAAAAAATTAAAATCTTGGGATTAAAAATGCTGCGACGTTAAACCGACATGACTAAAAATACAAGTTTGCACTTACTACACAAGTCACCATATATACTTTATTTATTATATTATTATTGTTGTTATATCAATAGTTTCTTGGTGATTGCTGAGAAAGTTTACGAACTTTTCCCTTTGAACTTTCTTGCATCATTTTTATCACAAAAGTTGGATTAAACGAATTAAATATTATTGGTTTCTTAATTAATTTTATTACACAAAAGTTGGATGAAACGAATTAAATATTTATTGGTTCCTTAATTAATTTTATTATTGTTCTGAAGTTGGTGACGCCAGTTATAACATAATTAAACAAAATATTGCAGTTAATAATGATGAGTTTGTTGAATATATATAATCTATTAGTTGTAAATATAGAGTATAGACCCACTTAGATAGAAGCACCTTTTTTTTAATATTTTTTATACGTGAATGATGATTTTATTTCTTGTCACATATGAAAAGGTTTCTAATAACAATTGAAGGGCTAGCTTGGAGGTCCCTTTTTTTTTTTTTTTTAACAATACTCTTTTATGGGATCTGTCTGTTTCACACTCGCATTATTGATATGTGGTACCTTTGAATTTGTTCATTATTGTCCCATTTTAATTATTGCATTACTTTTTTATTGCTCAACTTTATTTACTACTACCTCTTATTTTTAATATATGTCGTTGTGAGGAATTGTACGTTAAGTTAAAAATATATTTTTTTTTTTTGTGAATTCTTATTTAATGAAGATAGAGATGAACTATTTTGAAAGAAGATGAAGGGGGAATATGAAAAGACGTGATGTATTTATTAGCTAAATGAGGATAATAATGGAAAAATATGTACAAAAGATCCAAAACGACATTTATTTGGTTAATAGTTGATAAAGCCAAAATGACATTTAAAAAAAAAAATAGGAAGGAGTACATATTATTCACAGGCCAATCAATTAACCTGCATAATATATTGTTCAGTAAGAATACTCCTCAGCACCTCTAAACCTTTATTTGTTCAACTTTAAATGGCATTGTCTCTCACAGATCAACTCGGTATCTTGGGATTCCACTTGGTATTGGCAGAGCAAAAAAAAAAAATTTATTATTTGCTCTCTTCTGTCAAGAACAAACTCCTTAGTTGGAAGCAAAAACTGCTCAGTACAGGTGGTAAATAGGTGTTCATAAAGACAGTCATGCAAACTCTTCCTATTTTCTCAATGTCTTGCTTTAAATTACCACTAACCCTTTGCTCAGATATCTCAAAACTTTGTGCCCAGTTTTGGTGGAGTGCAGATCAATCTCAGGCCATTCATTGGAAGAAATGGAGCTTTCTGTCTCTCCCAAAGCAACATGTTGGTCTTGGTTTTCATAACTTACAACTTTTCAACAAAGCTTTGATCTGCAAGCAGCTATGTAGGGTTACAAATCCTGACCTATTAGTTAGCAGAATTCTAAACGAAAGGTACTTCCCTCATACTTCTATCGTTCATGCTAGAAAGATTCAAAGAGGCTATTGGATGTGGAACAGTTAGATGGATGTCATGCCCTTATTTTCTAAGTGGTTAAAGATTGAAGTAAGGAATGGGGTTAACACCAGAATCAGTGATTTCAATTGGGTGTCCAACCTTTATAAGCCTTCTCTTACTTTAATCCATATTGGTAGAGGACATCTGACATGGGTTAAGGAATTATTGCAGTCTAATGGTTCTCAGTGGAATGAGTGGCTGGAATGTCAGGTTTTTGATGACAATAATATAGCAAAGCTATTCTTTGCTTTTCTTCCCTACATCCAGACAGAAATGACAGATTGTTTTAGGGGTTGGAAAAGAAGGGTCACTTCTCTGTTTCTAGTATTTACAAGCATCTACCCTCTCTCAAACTCTGGCAATCAGACATTCCTAAAAGCATTATTGTCTATACTCACAAGTTGGCAATCAAGTTCAGGCACTCGAAACTGAAAATTGCTGGTAAAATTATATTTTTTGTGGAAATGCATCACAGGTACTCTCTCAGTGGCAGTGCAGTTAAAGAAAAGATGAGTGGACCTTAACATTACTTGCTCTATCTGTGGTGAAGCTAAAAAACTATAGAACACCTTTTCTTTGAATATGCAAGAGCAGCTAGATTATGGAAGTTTTGTCCAGTGCAATGGGATGGTCTCAATAGCAACACTAACTCCTTCAAAGCCTGGTGGTACCAAGTGTGCTCTCTGGATCACTCTGAAGTAGACAAAGCAAGAATTCAACTCTCTACGTATATGATTTGGTGGCTTTGGAAGTCCATATAACTTTTGGATTTTTCAGAAATCATTGATACCAGTGCATGTGTTGGCTCAAATGGCTTATTCTGACTGGCTCCAGTTCATTTCATCTTCTCTACAGCTTGTAGTTTCTGTTTTATTTTCAGTTGTTGTTGTTTTTAGAATGTAGCCCAATTCTAGGCTTTGTAGCAGTGGTAGGGGGTTTCATTCTCTAGTATTGTTGATAGCCTGCCTTTCGCCTTTCTTTTTTTGATTTTTCAATTGAGGGTCTAGACCGCCTTTGGCGTGTCTCTCATGGTTTTCCTTTTCGTGGCTCATTTTAACTCTTGTATTCGAACTTTGTTCGCTCCGAATTTTTTATATAATAGTTGCATCTGTCGTTTTGGTGTAAAAAAAAAAAAATTTGCACTATTGCCAAAATAGTTTACGCTGCTTCCTATTTTTTTTTTCTTCAATAAATTCAGAAGATTAAACCAATCAATAGTAAGGGTCCGTTTCGTTGGATAGATTGTGCATGATATTACAACATTTGCTAACATATCCATTCAATTGACATGTCAAATTTAAACAAATAAGCCATTGAAATAGGACATGGTTCAGTTAATTATTAAATTCTTCGGTATTAGATATCCCACCTATGGGGTGGGATGTGAAATCCATCACTTGGTTTTGAATTTGCATAAATACTCGCACCCAATTTCTTCCCCATTTCTCCTTCATGTAACCCTGCCCACCTATGAGGGTGGTCGACTCATGCAGCGTCGTCATCAAGAGCAACCTAGAAGACACTATTGTTTCTCAATTTCAAGTACAAATCGGCAAGGGCTGTCTGGACGAAGACTGACCCGCACGAACCGGTCTTAAGCACTTGCCCGTGAATAGAGGTGGCCAATTGTCGGGCCGCGACCCAGCCCGGCAGGTCGGCGGGCCTCAATATCATGGAACGTGACCGGCTCGAAATGAACTGCCGATTCACCAAACCGGCGGGTCACAGGCCGGTACGACATTTAAAAAGAAAAAAATAACACGGTGGCCCGTCGTCTGACCCGCGGCCCGAACCGACAGGTAAAAAAATAAACTGTGAACCGAGACCGCGCCGCGATAAGGTTCGGTTCAATGAACCG